GGAGCGGCCTGCTGGCGGAAGGGCGCATGCGCCCGGCCGCGCCATCAGCGGGACGCCGCCATGACCTCCGCCTCCACCAAGGTACCCGGGGCGAGGGCGCCTCTGAGAGCGTGCAGAGCGCGGTCCCCGCGCTGAGCCGCCTTTTTTTTTTTTTGCCCCCGACCCGCAGGTGGGCGAGATCTTCTCCGCGGCCGGCGCCGCTTTCACCAAGCTGGGCGAACTGACCATGCAGCTGCACCCGGTGGCGGATTCCTCCCCGGCCGGGTGAGTTGCGGGGCGGGGGGAGGATCGGGTCTCCCCGGGGGCGGCGCTGACTGTCCGCCTCCCGGCAGGGCCAAGTGGACGGACGCCGAGATCGCCCTCCTGCGGGCTTCCGTGCAGCGCTTCGGCGACGACCTGCACCGCATCAGCGCCCTCATCAAGGACCGGACCGTGTAAGCGCCGCCCCCGCTCCCCCCCCCCCCCTCCCGGTCCCCCCTCCCCCCTCCTCCCGGTGACCGGAGCCCCTCCCTCTCCTCCCCCCCCATTCTTCTCTTGCAGGGCTCAGCTGAAGGCGGCCGCCAAGCGCAAAGCCTACGAGGACGCCGGGCTGCCTCCGCCGCCGCCGCCTCCCGCCACCGACTCCCCGAAGAAGCCCGCCGGTCGGAAGCCGCCACCGGTTCCACCCGCCGGTCCGGAGCCTCCCGCCGTCAAGAAGCCCCGGTCGGACTTGACCCTCAGCGCCCTGAACGAAGCCGATGCGGCCCGGGAGGAGGACGGCGAAGCCGCGCCACCGGCCGCCAAGAAGCTCAGCTTTGACCAGGGTAGGGATCGCGGGGAGGGGGTTCCCCGTTGCTCCCCCGGCCCGGGGCTCCCCCGGTAAGAAGCCCCGGTCGGACTTGACCGTGAGCGCCCTGAACGAAGCCGACGCGGCCCGGGAGGAGGAGGAGGGTGAGGCGGCACCACCAGCCGCCAAGAGGCTCAGCTTCGACCAGGGTAGGGATCGCGGGGAGGGGGTTCCCCCCGCTTCTCTCTCTCTCTCTCTCTCTCCCCCCGTTCTTTCTCTCTCTCTTGCAGACAGCCTGAACCTGGAGCCCGGATGCTTCCTGACGCCCGGCGGAGCCGACCTGCCGCTGCT